GGACAGAAACCTGGTCATTTACACCAACGATGCCATTTTAAGGCCAGTAACATCTCAGCAACTCCTGATTGAATATAAGGATGCACTGATGTTTTGCTGCTTTATCTATACATCATGATAACTACAAATAATACATGGGTGTCTTTAATAAGATGTATTTTTAATTATTTTTATATGGAATTTTGTAAAATGTAATTTTCTGATGCACACACAATTTTTTTTTCATTTAAACTTGAAAATGAAAATTTGTAAATTTTGAACAAAAAAAGAAATAAACAAATTTATGCAGAAATATAGACTAACTTATTGAGACTGAGCTACTCTGTGGATCAGCATTATTCCAGCTCCATGTTATGCCCAGTACAGCTTCATCTACCAAGTCCTCATGTGACATAGGTTTATAGCCAGTTTCATAATTTACTACTTCATCTGACAGACTATGAGTTCCAGTGGTGGACAGTAACGTAGTAAATGTAATTCGTTACTGTACTTCAGTAGTTTTTCCTGTATCTGTACTTTACTGAAGTTTTTCCATTTTAGGTGACTTTTTACTTTCACTCCACTACATTTCAAAGTCAAATATCTCACTTTTTACTGCACTACATTATGAGAAATCTGTCCTTCCTTTTGGTTTTATTTGTGTATAAAAACGTAACATGTCAAAACGAAAGAAGCGCAAAGCAAGAGCACCAAACAGCGGTCACTTTGTTTTGAGCTTGTTTTGACCTGTTGGTCATACCGACCCAGTGCAGCACACGGTTCAACATCAGTGCAGCAGCGTAAAATTTTGGGAGAGTCTATTCAACATAAATGATGAACTAACCTAACTTTGTGTAAACAGACCACAATATAGAAATATGTACTCATATGCAGTTGAGACTGACGCGTCTTTTTTCTGAATTTATACAAACACATTTCATTTTATAGTAAATTAGTTTTGTCTAGTTTATGTTTATGAACAGAGACCTACAGATGCAGTTTAGTAAAGGAAACTCATTTGTGAACCTGAGTTTAAAGTTTTTATTAAACTTAAACTTGGAACTAAGTTGCAAATAAATCTTAAACTGAAACTTTGCTTGTTTGTAAAAAGTGATTTCAGAGCCACTCAGTTCTACCTGATGGAAACTGTTTCCTTCAGTGTTTTGTGCTTATGATAATTTTAATAGACATCAGCGTCACTAATTAATTACCTTCTATTAAAAGACTGGCTTACCAAGAGAGACACTGGAGTATTTTCACCTAAAATGAGTTAATGAAGCAAGTCTCGTTATAAAAATGATAATAGGACATCAGAGTCATAATTAATCTTTCAGTACTTTTACTTTTGATACTTAAGTGCATTTGAAGACAAATACTTTGCACTTTTACTCAAGCAGAGATCTAAAGGGAGGAAATTCTACTTTTACTGGAGTAGTATTTTACCTTGGGTATCTCTACTTTAACTCAAGTACATGATTTTTGTACTTTCCCCTCTGATTAATTTTGACTTTATTCAAAAAGATTCATTTAAAAAGTGATCAGATTTGCATTTTTCTTCCACATGTTCAAAATCCTGACCTTTTCCTTGGGATTTAGACACATGGAATAAAATCTTTTTAATTCCACAAACGCACATTTGTATTATTATTTTCAGCATACAGTCATAAGTCATCATCTGATTAAATAAAAAAGGCTCAACATTCTACTGTACAGTATGTGGACCCTGGAATATACTGACCAACTCCTCTTAGTAAGAAGACTAATAACACAGATGGGTGATGAATCAGTCAGGAAGCAGGAATTATGCAATGCTGAATTTTATTTGAAATCAATCACAGCCCCTTGTACACACAGATTACAGTGATGTAGTGTTACTGGATCTTTGCTTTTAGATCAAACACAGAAACTGAAACACATGATCATAATAATCTTTTATGTTTAATATCTGGGTCTCTCAAAGCTGAAGAGTTGATTATTATATGTGATTTCTGATGTATGCAGAAGGGTACTGGAAGGAACAGGTCAGGTCAGTTCAGGCTTTTTAAACACCTAAAACAAGAAGAAAAATCCATTAGATCAAATCTGAGAGTGACAATAATGTTGGGCTACACTGGGTCTGTTTACACCTCATACTAACAACTTGGTGATCGGATCTCGTTCAGATTTCACTGGACCGAATTAGAAGCCATCCCGAGTCAGTGATTCTAAAATGCAGTGTTGAATTTCTAACGCAAAGCAAAAGCCCTGTGAGAAGCCGACCCACTTTGGTGATGAATTTATGACGGTGACTGTAATAAATAGAACTATATGGATATGTGGTCGTATGCAAAAGTGGACTTGTGATACATTTTTCATGACAAGAAAAACTGCAAGCACTGACATAGGAAAAGTGGGTGGTACCTTCCTCCAGTCACTAAATCCAATCACTGGAGATGTATTTGAGACACATGGATACGCCAGGTGTAAACAGCTACACATCTCTCTGTCCACTTATGATCAGACCACTCGAGATGGATGTTGATATCAAATGTGAACAGAGCCATAGAAAATCAACAAAGCATGCAATGTGACCGGGGCACTTTTACATACAGCTGTATGTAGCGAGCTCTCCGTTTAAGATTCTGCATCAGTCAATATTACCGATACAGTATGAACCCTGATCTTTCTCTTCTACACAGTAAATGTAAATAAACCCTCAAATACACTGTTTTTGGAACTGTATAGAGATTAAACATTTCTGCTCCAGGCTTCTAAAGAATGTAAGAAAATATTTCACTCCCCTCTGCATCTGGACCCAAAAGCCTGTATATAAGACATTAGAGATGAATAAGAGAGGGATTGGTGATGGTCTTATTCCCACATAGACTTCCTCTTAATCAATAATTCAGTTATACCAAGCATCTCAAACAGACAGTTTTACTTCACCCATTGCTAACAGGTGGATCAAATTAAGCACATAGTCTTGCAGTCTTGATAGACAAACACTGGCAGTAGAATGGGTCACACTGAAGAGCTCAGTGACTTTAAACATGGCACTGTCATAGAATGCCTCCTCTGCCACAAGTCAGTTTGTGAAGGCACTGTCTTGCTAGATCTGCCCTGACAACTGTAAGTGCTATTATAGTGAAAAGGAAGCACCTCGAAGTAACAACAGCTCAGCCATGGAAGCCATAGACCACCCAAACTTACAGAGTGGGGCCACCGAGAGCTGAAGCACAGAGCCTATCCTCTGTTAAATCACTTACTAAAGAGTTCCAAACTGCATCTGCAAGCAACATCAGCAAAAGAACTGCATGTTAGGAGTTCACGAAATGGGTTTCCATGGCTGAGCAGCTGCACACAAGCCTAAGATCAGGATGCACAATGCCAAGCGTCGGCTGGAGTGGAGTAAAGCACCACTACTGGACTCTGGATCAGTGGAAACATGTTCTGTGGAGTGATGAATCAGCTGCTCTACCTGTCAGTCTGATGGACGAGTCTGGGTTTGGCGAATGCCAGGAGAACGTTACCTGCCTGACTGCACTGTGCCAGCTGTAGAGTTTGGTGGAGGAGGGATGATGATATGGGGCTGTTTTTCAGGGGTTGGTCTAGAACCCTTAGTTCCAGTGAAGAGGAATCTTAATGCTTCAGCACCAAGACATTTTGGACAACTGAACACTTCCAACTTTGTGGAACTGTTTGGGGAAGAACCTTTCCTGTTCCAGCATGACTGAGCCCCAGTGACCAAAGCAGCTCCATAAATGCCTGACTGGGTGAGTTTGGTGTGGAAGAACTTCACTGACCCTCACAGAGCCCTGACCTCAACCCCATAAAACACCTTTGGGATGAACTAGAATGGAAACTGTGAGATAGACCCTCTCGTCTAACGTCAATGTCTGACCTCACAAATGCTCATCTGGATGAATGGTCTACAACATCTTGTAGCTTCCACAACAGTGGAAGCTGTTAGAGCTGCAAAGGGGGACCAGCTCCATATTAATGCCTATGGATTTAGAATGGGATTCATACAAGCTATTGTGGGTGTGATGTGTCCCAATACTTTGTCCATATAGTGTATATAGTGTGACCATATCATTATCATTGACCATGCTCCAGTTTTGCTCACACGGAATGTAAATCATCCACATAAATCAGCCATCAGATGAGGCTTTAACACATGCCTACCAAAACATCCTGAATTTAACGGTTACATTATATTAAATATCTTTTATATTATACATAAAAGACAATGGGCATCTTCCTGGAAATAAAAATTCTGTACTAAGAGGAAAAATAATATCTTACTCTTCCCAATTTAATTTACAACAGAAAATTAAGGAAATACAAGATAAGATGGTAGACAATCCCAATAAGGAAACTGAGAATGAATAAAATGAACCCAAATTACAAAACAACAAATTCACAAATAAGAAAACCCAATTGTTGCACTTCTCATAACCATGGAATGAAAATCTAAGAAAACACTAACATCACTCACTGTGAAAACTCAGTGACTGATGATTTATCAATGGGAAAAATCTCAAACACTATCAAAAAACATAGCCACACAACTGAACTCAGCCTGGACCCAGCAGGCTCTGACATTAGTGCCGCCGTCAACAGGTGACAATGATCAATACCCTATATCTGACTGTCCCATGAATGTCCTCTCTCTCTCTCACACACACACACACACACACACACACACACATGCCTAAATAAAACAGTCAACCAGGTACTTAACCACTGTTAAAAAACATAAACGCACCTTTCCTGATCCGTCGAGCACAGACAAAAGGAATTTTACTGTTGCAGTTAAGATCATCCCAGCCACCTGCAAGAACAGTGCACAGATTTCTATAAAATACAGTCATGATGAAAAAACACACAATATTCCAGTCATTATAAAAGCACAGGGGTGAAAAACATGGTAATGGATATAAACCACTGTCATAAAGGCAAATATAGACCATAAATATTATATCAAAAAGACTATGCATGGAACATTTAATGTAGCCACCAGTACAGTGTGTGGAACAAAGTTAGAGAAGAATTTTAATCTCGTTAACTTTGAAGTTGGTCTGCAGACAGTGTCCAGAGCCATCTGGCTGGCCTTGGGTCCAGGGAGAGAAGTCAAAAGCAGACTCATCTGTCCAGTACCAGCGTTTGGGAACCTGAAGAACAGCAATCTGAAATGAGTATCCACTGTCCCCGAGAGAGGAGACTGAGCACACAGAACACTGGGAGAGATTCAGCACCAACTCAAACACACTTACCATGTGACTGTTGTAGCCACCGAGCCACGAGGGACGATCAGAACCAGCCTGATTGTAAATCAGACGCTTAATGAAAGAGTCTTCCTTCTCACTGTGCACTGAAGCCAGATGAGCGCCGTACTCCTCACAGGTGCTCTACAGGAGGAATTAATAGGGACAGACATTTCACCAGGATGGACTTTTACTTTAACACAACCTGTTTGGACGTCTCCTTTTAGATGTTGGAGTTTCTACTCCAAATCTTGCTCTTCAGTATTTCACACTGGATGAGACACTAATGAACACTTTATAACATTATATTCTTACAACTAGAACATCAAACACTTTTAAAAATAAAAATTAAAGCATAAAATCAACTCAAACTGCTTTACTGATCAAATGTTGGAAGGTAGAACTGTCCACCTTAAGGATATTTTTTACAAAATATGGTGGTTTAGACTGAACACCTGTAGGAACAGCATTGAATAAACACACCTCAGCCTCCTCCCAGGTTTTTTTGATGGCAAAGAACATGAACTGGCGTGGTCCGTACTGTGTCCATCCAGAGTTAATGGCACCAGACTGTTTATTTTCCGCAGTACCTGCATCAACAACAGATTATGAGTTTTTAAATATCTACAAAGATGCCAAATATGTCCAAAAACAACAAACAGTACACTTTTACATTGTCTTGGAATTTCTGAGATGGTGGTTTTAAATGACAGATCATTCAACAGTTCAGAAAAACGTTGGACATTAAAATGGCTCTTCTAAATAAAAGCTTCTAAATCAGTGGGTTGATTTCTTGGTACAGGTGGAGGCCTGAAAACGCTCAAATACTAAAGCAAGGTTTGTTTCTGACAAAGCACAAATCGTAATTCTGCTAATCTACAAGTCTCTTTTTCTTCTGCTTTGCTGATATATTTAACATTTTAGAGCACAACAGTGGACAGTGCCCAAAAGGCAGCTGAATAGAAGTCCAAAAAACTCTAGAATATCAAATAAAGCTTAAAAGAAAGAGAAATAAAATAAACCTGCAGTGGAAAAAGGCTACATAGCCGATACCCTTAAACTTACCAGGAGCGGGAGCAAGCTGGGCATCACTTGTACCAGCTGTATCAGCCCCTGAAATCAGTGAACAAAGATTTAACACCTTGGCATGTATTCTATACACCATACCCTCTATAGGCAAAAGCCTGGGGACCCTCTCTAATTATTGAGTTCAGGTGTTTCAGCCACACCCATTGCTATCAGGTGTATTCAATCAAGCACATAGTCGTGCAGTCTCTACAGACAAACACTGGCAGTAGAAAAGGTGGTACTGAAGAGCTCAGTGACCTTCAGCGTGGCACTGTCACAGGATGACACTTTTGCTTAGGGTCAGTTCTTGAAATGCCTGACCTGGTAGATCTGCCACAGTCAACTGTGAGTGCTAATATCATGAATCGGTAGCATTTCAGCCCAATAACCTCTCAGCCACCAAGCAGTAGAACACGCCAACCCATAGAATGAAGACTCTGAGTGCCGACACAAGCAGCACATTAGAAAAGGCTTATTTTCTGTAATTGTCCAGTACAGAGCTCCAAACTGCCTCTCGGTTAACATCAGCACAAGAACTGAGCGTCAGAAGCTTCATGGACTGAGTATGTTTGCACTGGCAGCTGCAGACAAGCCTAAGATCACTATGCGCAATACCAAGTGTCGGCTGGAGTGGTGTAAAGTGCCACCACTGGACTCTGGAGCAGTAGAACTGTGTTCTCTGGAGAGAAGAATCTTTTCTATCTGTCAGTCTGATGATGAATCTGGGTTTGGTGGGTGTCAGGAAAACGTTACCTACCGGAATGCAGAGCCAACAGTAGAGTTTGGTGGAGGAGGGATGATGACCTGGGCTGTTTTTCAGGGTTTGGGCCCCTCAGTTCCAGTGAAGGGTGATGTTGATGTTACAGCACAAATACATTTTACACAGCTATCTGCTTCCAGCTTTGTGTTAGCAGTTTGGGGAAGAGCCTTTCCTGTTCCAGCATGACTGAGCCTCAGTGCACAAAGCAGCTCCATAAAGACATGGAGTGAAGAGTTTGGTGTGGAGGAACTCCACTGGCCTGCACAGAGCCTTGATCTCAACCCCGCTGAACACCTTTTGGATAAATTGGAACGTCAATTGTAAACCAGGCCTTGTTGTCCAACATCAGTGCCTGACCTCTCAAATGCTCTTTGAATGGGCACAAATCCCCACAGACACTCTTCAACATCTTGTGAAGTGCCTTCCCAAAAGAGTGGATGATGTTATAAAGCAGAACAACTCCAAAACAATGGCCATGAATTTGGAATGGGAATGTCCAACAAGCTCAGAAAAAATGTAATGGTCAAATGTTAAAAACATTTTTGCCCATACAGTGTAGCTTATACTGTCTCTGAACACAATGAATTCAAATCCTACATTGAACAAATACCACATACTACATTTCATGTAACTCTTTCTATGTGACTAATCTGATCAGAATAAGACTTTGTGGAAAATCTCCTGAACTTGAACTGCTTCATTGGAATGAAGTTGTATGAAAATCTGACAACAGTAAGTTTTACCCAAGTCTTAACTTGAGTCATTTGAGTCACTTCATACAAGCTTGTGCCTCTTCACTGCACAAACACCACTGCAGTGACCAGCTAAAGAGAGGAGACTCATCTGAAGAGCAATCTGAGCCCCTAATTCAGTGAAGAGGAGTGTGAACTCTAATTCAGGAATGCACTGTTATTTTTCACACCCATCGCTAGAGGCCTGGATCACTATTGGCACATACAAGAAAATGCAGAATGCTTGAATAAAACAGTCAACCAGGTACTGAACCACTGTTAAAAAAACATAAACGCACCTTTCCTGATCCGTCGAGCACAGACAAAAGGAATTTTACTGTTGCAGTTAAGATCATCCCAGCCACCTGCAAGAACAGTGCACAGATTTCTATAAAATACAGTCATGATGAAAAAACACACAATATTCCAGTCATTATAAAAGCACAGGGGTGGAAAACATGGTAATGGATATAAACCACTGTCATAAAGGCAAATATAGACCATAAATATTATATCAAAAAGACTATGCATGGAACATTTAATGTAGCCACCAGTACAGTGTGTGGAACAAAGTTAGAGAAGAATTTTAATCTCGTTACCTTTGTAGTTGGTCTGCAGACAGTGTCCAGAGCCATCTGGCTGGCCTTGGGTCCAGGGAGAGAAGTCAAAAGCAGACTCATCTGTCCAGTACCAGCGTTGTGGAACCTGAAGAACAGCAATCTGAAATGGGTATCCACTGTCCCCGAGAGAGGAGACTGAGCACACAGAACACTGGGAGAGATTCAGCACCAACTCAAACACACTTACCATGTGACTGTTGTAGCCACCGAGCCACGAGGGACGATCAGAACCAGCCTGATTGTAAATCAGACGCTTAATGAAAGAGTCTTCATTCTCACTGTGCACTGAAGCCAGATGAGCGCCGTACTCCTCACAGGTGCTCTACAGGAGGAATTAATAGGGACAGACATTTCACCAGGATGGACTTTTACTTTAACCCAACCTGTTTGGACGTCTCCTTTTAGATGTTGGAGTTTCTACTCCAAATCTTGCTCTTCAGTATTTCACACTGGATGAGACACTAATGAACACTTTATAACATTATATTCTTACAACTAGAACATCAAACACTTTTAAAAATAAAAATTAAAGCATAAAATCAACTCAAACTGCTTTACTGATCAAATGTTGGAAGGTAGAACTGTCCACCTTAAGGATACTTTTTACAATATATGGTGGTTTAGACTGAACGCCTGTAGGGACAGCATTGAATAAACACACCTCAGCCTCCTCCCAGGTTTTTTCGATGGCAAAGAACATGAACTGGCATGGTCCATATGATGTCCATCCAGAGTTAATGGCACCAGACTGTTTATTTTCCACAGTGCCTGCATCAACAACAGATTGTTAGAGTTAATACATCTAAGAAGATGTCAAGTTTGGCCAAAAACAACAAACAGTACACTTTTACATTGTCTTGGAATTTCTGAGATGGTGGTTCAGATGTACAGATCATTGAACAGTTCAGAAAAACGTTGGACATTAAAATGGCTCTTCTAAATAAAAGCTTCTAGATCAGTGGGTTGATTTCTTGGTACAGGTGGAGGCCTGAAAACGCTCAAATACTAAAGCAAGGTTTGTTTCTGACAAAGCACAAATCGTAATTCTGCTAATCTACAAGTCTCATTTTCTTCTGCTTTGCTGATATATTTAACATTTTAGAGCACAACAGTGGACAGTGCCCAAAAGGCAGCTGAATGGGAGTCCAAAAACACTCTTCTAGAATATCAAATAAAGCTTAAAAGAAAGAGAAATAAAATAAACCTGCAGTGGAAAAAGGCTACATAGCCGATACCCTTAAACTTACCAGGAGCGGGAGCAAGCTGGGCATCACTTGTACCAGCTGTATCAGCCCCTGAAATCAGTGAACAAAGATTTAACACCTTGGCATGTATTCTATACACCATACCCTCTATAGGCAAAAGCCTGGGGACCCTCTCTAATTATTGAGTTCAGGTGTTTCAGCCACACCCATTGCTATCAGGTGTATTCAATCAAGCACATAGCCGTGCAGTCTCTACAGACAAACACTGGCAGTAGAAGAGGTGGTACTGAAGAGCTCAGTGACCTTCAGCGTGGCACTGTCACAGGATGACACTTTTGCTTAGGGTCAGTTCTTGAAATGCCTGACCTGGTAGATCTGCCACAGTCAACTGTGAGTGCTAATATCATGAATTGGTAGCATTTCAGCCCAATAACCTCTCAGCCACCAAGCAGTAGAACATGCCAACCCACAGAATGAAGACTCTGAGTGCTGACACAAGCGGCACATTAGAAAAGGCTTATCTTCTGTAATTGTTCAGTACAGAGCTCTAAACTGCCTCTGGGTTAACATCAGCACAAGAACTGAGCATCAGGAGCTTCATCGAGTGAGTATGTTTTGGACTGGCAGCTGCAGACAAGTTTAAGATCACTATGCGCAATGCCAAGCATTGGATGGAGTGGTGTAAAGCACCACCACTGGACTCTGGAGTAGTGGAACCGTGTTCTCTGGAGTGATGAATCTTTTCTATCTGTCAGTCTGATGATGAATCTGGGTTTGGTGGATGTCAGGAAAACGTTACCTACCGGAACGCAGAGCCAACAGTAGAGTTTGGTGGAGGAGGGACGATGGGCTGGGCAGTTTTTCAGGGTTTGGGCCCTTTAGTTCCAGTGAAGGGTGATGTTGATGTTACAGCACAAAGACATTTTATACAGTTATCTGCTTCCAGCTTTGTGTCAGCAGGTCGGGAAGCATGACTGAGTAAAACAGTCAACCAGGTACTAAACCACTGTTTGGAAACATAAACGCACCTTTCCTGATCCGTCGAGCACAGACAAAAGGAATTTTCTCATTGCAAACAAGATCATCCCAGCCACCTGCAAGAACAGTGCACAGATTTCTATAAAATACAGTCATGATGAAAAAACACACAATATTCCAGTCATTATAAAAGCACAGGGGTGGAAAACATGGTAATGGATATAAACCACTGTCATAAAGGCAAATATAGACCATAAGTATTATATCAAAAAGACTATGCATGGAACATTTAATGTAGCCACCAGTACAGTGTGTGGAACAAAGTTAGAGAAGAATTTTAATCTCGTTACCTTTGTAGTTGGTCTGCAGACAGTGTCCAGAGCCATCTGGCTGGCCTTGGGTCCAGGGAGAGAAGTCAAAAGCAGACTCATCTGTCCAGTACCAGCGTTTGGGAACCTGAAGAACAGCAATCTGAAATGAGTATCCACTGTCCCCGAGAGAGGAGACTGAGCACACAGAACACTGGGAGAGATTCAGCACTAACTCAAACACACTTACCATGTGACTGTTGTAGCCACCGAGCCACGAGGGACGATCAGAACCAGCCTGATTGTAAATCAGACGCTTAATGAAAGAGTCTTCATTCTCACTGTGCACTGAAGCCAGATGAGCGCCGTACTCCTCACAGGTGCTCTACAGGAGGAATTAATAGGGACAGACATTTCACCAGGATGGACTTTTACTTTAACCCAACCTGTTTGGACGTCTCCTTTCAGATGTTGGAGTTTCTACTCCAAATCTTGCTCTTCAGTATTTCACACTGGATGAGACACTAATGAACACTTTATAACATTATATTCTTACAACTAGAACATCAAACACTTTTAAAAATAAAAATTAAAGCATAAAATCAACTCAAACTGCTTTACTGATCAAATGTTGGAAGGTAGAACTGTCCACCTTAAGGATATTTTGCACAATATATGGTGGTTTAGACTGAACACCTGTAGGAGCAGCACTGAATAAACACACCTCAGCCTCCTCCCAGGTTTTTTTGATGGCAAAGAACATGAACTCGCGTGGTCCGTACTGTGTCCATCCAGAGTTAATGGCACCAGACTGTTTATTTTCTGCAGTGCCTGCTTCAACAACAGATTGTTAGAGTTTTAATACATCTACAGAAGATGTCAAAGTATGTCCAAAAACAACAAACAGTACACTTTTTACATTGTCTTGGAATTTCTGAGATGGTGGTTTTAAATGACAGATCATTCAACAGTTTCAGAAAAATGTTGGACATTAAAATGGCTCTTCTAAATAAAAGCTTCTAGATCAGTGGGTTGTTTTCTTGGTACAGGTAGAGACCTGATAATGTTCAAATAGAAAAGCACAAATCGTGTTCTGCTAATCTCCAGGTCTCATTTTCTTCTGCTTTCCTGATATATTTAATGTTTTAGAGCACAACAGTGGACAGTACCCAAAAAGCAGCTGGACGGGAGTCCGAAAAACTCTTCTAGAATATCAAAAAAGCATCAAAGCAAGATAAATAAAATAAACCTGCAGTGGAAACATAGCCGTTACCCTTAAACTTACCAAGAGATGGAGGAAGTTTAAGATCATCTCTAACAGCAGCATCAGCACCTGAAATCAGTGAACAGATATCTAGCACCTCAGCATATTGTTGCACAGTGTCTGCATCAACCACAGTTTATGGGAGTGTGAATATCTAAAGAGATGCTAAATTTCAACAAAAACAATGAAAACTACCCTTTCCTGGAATTTCTGACCTGGTGGTTCAAACCTACAGAGACACTGAACCGGTCTGAAAAACGTTGTACATTAAAATGGCTTTTCTCATTAAAAGCCTCTCCATAACTGAGTTGTTTTCATGGTACATGGTTATTTCAGTTTCAAACTAGGAATGCTTATGAGACAAAATAAAAAAATGTCAAAAAAAAATCTCAGTGGTTCCATGTTTGCTGATATATTGAAAGTTTTCCAAACAACAGCAGACAGTCCCCAAAAAGTAGCGGGTTGTGAGCTAACGATGGTGAAATATTAAACAAAACTCTCCTAGAATCTCAAAAGAAATGCAAAAAGAAAGAGAAATAAAATAAACCTGCAGTGAAAAAGGCTACATAGCTGTTACCCTTAAACTTACCAGCAGCAGGAGCAAGCTGGGCATCACTTGTACCAGCTGTATCAGCCCCTGAAATCAATGAACAAAGATTTAACACCTTGGCATGTATTCTATACACCATACCCTCTATAGGCAAAAGCCTGGGGACCCTCTCTAATTATTGAGTTCAGGTGTTTCAGCCACACCCATTGCTAACAGGTGTATAAAATCAAGCACATAGCCATGCAGTCTCTACAGACAAACACTGGCAGTAGAAGAGGTGGTACTGAAGAGCTCAGTGACCTTCAGCGTGGCACTGTCACAGGATGACACTTTTGCTTAGGGTCAGTTCTTGAAATGCCTGACCTGGTAGATCTGCCACAGTCAACTGTGAGTGCTAATATCATGAATCGGTAGCATTTCAGCCCAATAACTTCTCAGACACCAAGCAGTAGAACACGCCAACTCACAGAACGAAGCCTCTGCCTGCTCCAAACTGCCACTGAGTGAAAGGAGCCTCATGGAGTGGGATTATTTGGACCGGCAGCTGCAAGCAAGCTTAAGATCACTATGCGCAATGCCAAGTGTTGGCTGGAGTGGTGTGAAGTGCCGCTACTGGACTCTGGAGCAGAATGATCTCACAAAGTGTAGTCTTCCCATGGGCTGCTAGAGGCTCACTGAGAAAATTGAGTTTGAATCCTTTCTGAGCTGTCATTGCAAAATGTCACCAATTTTGACTGAAGTTGGAATATAGGTCCCGTCTGTGCTGTTATGCATGTGAAAAATTTAAGGCTTGTATCCTAATGTCTTTGGAAGACTTAAAACAATAATTATCAATGGAACATGAGTGCCTCATTGGGCTGATGGTGCTTGAACCCCGATGATTGCCCTTTGTGGCTATACTAAACTTTTACTTTTTTTTGGGGTCAGTTATGTTCGTAAAAAGATCTTTTTAAGTACTTTTAAGATGACATTGAAAGATTTATATTCATCAAAAATTTTATTTCTAAGGAAAAATAAAACTTTTGTCCAAAAATGTTGTCTCACATTTTCATGTCATTTCCAAAACAGAACGTCTGTATTTAAAATGAAACACAACTATACGACATACTGCATACTACACTAACACACACCAATACTGCATACTACTCTTCATAATAGTATACAGTACAGTTTCCAGTATACAATGTGCCGCACTGTAGAAAAGGGCATTACTAGACGGCCAACATCTGGCACTGAGCCAATCATAAATATCTAAAAACCTGCTATATTTTCCTTGGCTCTCCTACAGCTGCTTAGCAACAGATACCATGACAGAATGGAGGGTGCTGTTTTCTACTCAGCCACAAAGCCCTAAATAGGCTTTAAAATATCAGCTTTGGACTGGTCTGTGTGGTAAACCTGTGTGGTTTCTGAACACCTGTTTTCCTATGTTTGCGAGTCATTTAATTTTCATTGCAGTCGTAACTGGTACTATGAGGTAGTTTGACTGAATAATTCAGAAACCTGAAAAGCCGATGGGCTACAAAGGTTGTTCGGCTGAGACTAACTTATTGTTTTAACCATGTTATAAATGCAGTAAATTAACTTTATGAAATGGACAAAGTAATCAAACCCTCCTCAAGACCAGAGTAAGCAAAATATATGTTTTTTATATATATATATATATATATATAGATATATATATATATATATATATATATATATATATAAAGAGAGAGAGAGAGAGACTTATGCTTGTTTTTGTAGTGACAAAATGGAATATTCAATCATTCGTTTTAATATAGTGAACATAATTAAGGTACATTGTCAGTCAAAGTTAAAGGATTTTTGCCTAAACTCGAAAATCAGTTAAATGTCCCAAATGTGTTTAGTTCTGACTTTGAACCAGTTCAGTAGAGTCATCCACTGATGTTCAGCTTAAAAAGGGGGAAAATATACAAAACACACAACATTATTCCAGTTTAACTTCGTAGTGATCACTAAATTTAAAATGTAATTTTGATGAATAACAAAATAACTATTTCACACCAGTGTATCAATACATACATGTAAATGTAGATTAGTCTAATCTGAGTGCTGGAGTTGTTCCTGCTTTCTCTCAGAATCACACACTATTTTATGCAGTCCTTAATCAGTAATGATGTGACTGCATATCAGTGGAATGGATGTGTTTTCTCACCAGCTAGCTGGACACTGAGGAGACACATGACCCCAAGGAGTAAGGAGGAGCACCGGATCGCCATGATGACAGAGACTGCAGAGAAATTTCAGACATAGTAGATCAGTGATAGAGTTTAATATATCAGAGATTCTACATTCACAATGTACACAAACAGACAGAGAGTTTAACTCATTAAGTCTTTTGTCAGAGTAAATGTAGCTGTTAGATGTTGAGCTTCATTTGAAATCATTTTAAAATACAAATATACAGCAGAAGCTGGTCAGTGAGGGAAGGTTTGAAACGCTCTACCTTTAGATCTCCAGCCAGTCTCCTGTGAAGTTTTGAGCAGTCTTCTGAAGTGAACACTTCTGATTGAAGAACTTGATGAAAATGGTGGAGGTTGCGTTCTTTTATAGTTTGTAGAAGGTGTGGCATGACTAATATTCATGAGGATTTCTGGGAAATTTCATCAACGGTTTTTTCTAAAGAGTAGGGGGAATGATGGTGCTGGATTTCATTGCGTAACAGTGCATGTTCACTTGCACTTTTAGTGGGCATCTCCATGTTTTTATGGAAAAGAAATGATACTAAACAGATGCGGTCATTAAACTACCTGATGTGCTGTCTACTGTTGCACTGAAGCTCACAATTAGACTAAAATACAGATGTATGCTTTTATGCTTATTAATTTTCAAAATCATCCATCATCCACAAAAACTAGAATGTTCACTCACTCAATCTCACTGGCAAGCTAGCTACCTTAGCAAGTGACCTTCAAGCTCTGTGTGGTTTAAATTGTGCCTTATCACTCAAACCATGTGAACTTCACCCAGCTGAAGGTCTTTTCTCCAAACCCTCACTGTCTACAGTTCTGTATAAAAGCAAATATTTCATTATTGTGTAAACTGTCATGGATTGGGGGAAGAGACTGAGAGCTGTAGTTTCCACTGTGTACTATCAGAGACAGTCATGTTTGCCGTTCGTGATGAAGACCAGCCTGATTGGCTAAACTCATTGTGGTGGCTACATTGATTTGCATATAGTCCACAACTGCCTAAGGCTGAAGAACACATCTACAGCAGAACCAGAACTACAAGAATATCACGGTCCATTCCCATGTGTGTGTTGTTCAAGTTTTCAGAGAAAAAATAAGTTTCTTCTTCTGCTTCTCATGAATTTACATTCACTCATCCTGAGGCACTTTGGCTTCATGCTAAGGTTTGATTTGATCCTTGGCTGGTAAGGGCAGTAAAAAAGTATTTGCCCTTCTGATTTTCTCAGTTATTGCATATTTGTATATTGAATATTAGACAAATAAAATATTATTATAGCTATTTAAGAAGCAACATGATCCAACAAGAAATTATTTTCACCCATAAAATCAATAAAACATGGAATTTGGGTGCCAAAACTGTACATTGATCTAAAATATATATTTTTGTGCTCCTTAAATGCATGTTGAACTACATCAATGAATCATTAGACAAAAAAATAAATCTCACTTTATTCTATTTTATTTAACTGCACAAATGAATTTTTCAATTCAATTCAAGATTTATTCAGGTGGTGTTTTTGTCACAGTGTCAGGCGTTGGCACAAAACAGCTTTACAGAAAATCTGGGTCCAAAAACCAAATGAGTGTCACCAAGAGTGACAATAGCAAGAAAAGCTCCCTACGAGCAAGAGTGGAACCACAACTCAAAAGGGTAATCATCCTCCTCTGGTTGACACCAGACAGAAAAACTAAAGTAATGGCATTATTTATAACACTGTTATGAGTAGGTTTCCCATAGGATGTAGAGTTTATAAGACAGATGGCTATTTATGAACAATATCTTAGTATAAAGTTCTATGAATGATTTTAAGGCCCTCAAACTAAAGTGGTAGCACATTTGCCAGTCATAACTCCTTCAGTAAGCAGAATTCACTGGACATGTGTGAGAAAAAACACAACAAATGGAATGCTACGACTTCATTTATAGCAAACACACAAACATCACAAATACAGCTCCAAATCACATCCTTAACCATATTACTGACTGCAAAAGGCATCTCAAAACACAAATATATGCAAGCATTTTCTGCCAGGTATATTTTTAGCCTTTGCAACAAAAACAGCAGAATCAGGCTCACAATGGGGACCTTTTACTGGTTATAACAACTGATTCATTAAACATAAACAAAACAGCAAATGGAAAGCTATAACCTTATTCATAAGAAACACAAGAATATGCCGCCACTAAAACAAAAATGCTGAATTACAAGCTCACACTTCTTCATTTTTGCTTCTGTGGATGAACAATTGGTAGAAGGTCCCATTTGCCCTTTCAGTTGTTTGTTTTTTCATGTGTGCAAGCTTTGCTTTTTTTGTCATTTCACAGAGTGAGGCTGTCAAAAACATCTGGTGAGGTGATGCTGGGTTCTGCGATGGGTGTAGTACGGACAATTGTGTTAATCTTTTTTTTTTTTTCTTGAAATACAATTAGCATGCCTGTAAGGGGGCATTACAGCATTAAACCCACAATACTGCCAACTCTTTAAATAAAGCATAGAAATAATGGTTCGAATGTGATGATTAAAGCAATATTATGTGACAATTTTGATGGCACACTGACTTAAGAATGTAAGAATGGGGTCTCTGTCGTTGTCACCCTGGGTTGGAACACCTGCTACAGTGCTATGCAAGGAGGAGTGCAAGAGGTTGCCAGGTCCCCAAAGGGCCTACTGAGGAGATCAAAAAGGCCAAACAGGGTCCTCACTGCTATCTCCGGAACGTCCGCCGGGAGCACAGGGACCTGGTGGCAATGGCAGACCAGGCCCACTTTGGAAAAGATGAGCAGCCTGGCCAAGCGGGCGAAAAAATCCTGCTTGTCAGGACATGGGTAGCGTCCAGCATAGTTGCATAATTGATGCAGCGATAATGTCTGAACAGGTGCCAACAGCCACCTGGCTTCTAAACAATGTGTAGCAATGAGTGCCTTAAGCTACTGGACCTCTCCCAGGACACTTTGGTACTCCAGTCCCGTATCATTTAAAAAAAAAAAAATCTCTCAAATGCAAATTTGACGCCACATATGGGTAGAGGGGATTGAGCTGAACTCAGTGATACTCACTGATACAGGTCTCATCCTTCTAGCCCCTGACACATCCCCTTGATCTCACACATTGAGTCTCGACCCAGTCTGACCCTCTGACCCTAGATCTTGGCCTAGGACTTGGCCTCTGTGCCCTCTCGACAAATCGGTACTTCTGAATTGCCTTGCTTGGACACTTTGGTACTCTTTGAATGGATTCCTGCTGGAGTCTAGGATTGGCAGAATGTAGCATATTGAGGTCTAGCAAGCAGCAAAAATGTCTTAGGGACACCAAACTCATGGGATATTGTTAGCTATTGTTAGGATGCTAACCATATTGAAATTTGGTGACTGTAGGGTGAAAAATCAAGGAGATATGGCCTCAACATCACAGCAACTGCAGTGGGACCTAGGCTGTGAATAGGCAGAAGTTAATATAAAGCAGAGGAAGGTGAAGGTTATAGGTAGGGATGCACCGATCCGACTTTTTCATTTCCGATACTGATGCCGATACATACATTTTGTGTATTGGCCAATATCCAATACCGATCCAATACTATTGTTGAATTAATTAACCAGATATCTCACCATTTGGAAGAGAATTAAGGCATCAGGATTGACTTAAATATTACTAACTTTGTAGTTACACAATACACAATGTGTCGACCTCAGCTTTAGCAAAAGTGAGCTTGACTGGGTTCAGACACCTGGTGTGAGTGTGGACAGGTGGACCAGCAGTGGTGATATAGTGCTCGACCCCATGCTTTCTGCTGTCTGATATGAATGTGGGGTCCGTCAAACGTGGGAACACAGTGAGGAGACATGAGAAATCATCTTAGATGTAGAGCATGTGGAAGAGCCGGAGCGGCGGGTGAGCAAAGGAGTGACTGGCTGTCGAAGTAATCGGCTGTTGGACAGGAAGTCAGCATGTAGTGGGGGTAGACATTTTTGCTAGCACTTGAATCGGTGGCCACTGAAGCACTGACTGCTGCCAATATGTTATTTTATTGGCTCCAAAGCGGATACGATCGAAGCAGAGAGCAGGTAGTGGTAGCGCTGCACAGTGTCTGAAGGAGGTGGGGGTGTGAGGGAGTAGTGAGATGATACTTCATAACAACCTAAACTAAAGCCTGGGCTTATATACTAAACTAACACAGGCAGGTAATGATGGAAAAGTGTGTGTGTAATCAGAAGTGCAGAGAAGCTGAGCGCTGATAGGTTGATCTGATGGAGTTCTGAGTCACGAGAGGCAGTGAGGGGGTCTGATGGAGTCCTGAGTCACGAGAGGCAGTGAGGGGGAGTCCAGGCAGCGTCAGCTGTAGTTCAAGCCATGCCAGAGGGAGATGTGATAATCATTCTTAAATATGTTAAAGTGGACGGTGGATGTGGTGTTTAAGAATGAAAATCATAGGATGTTTCATCTGAATCAGTAGGTGATTATCTTCATTCCTAATGTAATACATATTAATATTATATAATAGAATGTAATTAATATAATTCTAATAAAATGTTCACTAGCCAAAATTAAATTACTGTTATCTCTAATTCTAATTCCCACTAGTCAGGGTTATATTTTGACTAGATGGAATCAATATTTTACTGGGAAAAACTGAGCTACAGCTTGTACTGCTGGTTTCATTTCAGGCTAAAACGGCTGACCAAACACAACAAGTTTGAGTTTCTTTAGTTTATGCGTTTAGGCTTGTGTGATGTGGTGTTGAACATAAAGATCTGCTCTGCTTCTCCTCCACTCTGCAAAACCTGCCTCAGTCAGGTTCTTCACGGTTCAGACATGGATTATTTCAGAGTGCGTTCTGCTGTTTGATCTCAGCTGCTTTTGATCGTGTAAAATTCACAGATGCTTTCAAACAAAGTTCAAATATTTTCAAGTTTGGCATGATGTGCTTCGGCCAAGTCAAACTAGCCTCTCCATCCATCATGGAGGACCTACCAGACTTACCCACTGCTCTCCGATTAGCTGCGCTGAGGCCGAAACCAGCGACCCACCATTTACGCTGC